GGAATTTGGCTGCCTTGCAAGAGCAATGGCGCAGAGAATCCCCAACCACGCGTGTTCACAAGCATCAGGCAGTCGATGAGGAGACGGTGTTTGGCAGTGGTGAATGCGTGGGGCGGCCATACACGATATTGAACTGAGAAATTTCGCATTTTTATTCTTGTGACTTGACATTCTGTATACCCATGTTTTGGAACGGCGGTGTAGCCTAATGGAACTGATTATGGCACTGTCAGTGTATCGAGTACATCACACAGATCTCAGCAATGAAATAATAACAATTTAACCATCTTACCATCTCTTGTTCTTTTAAAGTGCCCTGAAGAAAGAATGTGAAGTTTCTTTTTTGACTCAGTATATTTTGGTATCTTTAGTTTATAATCATAAATCTGTAGTGCACACTTTGTGTTAATCTGCTATGTCCAAAGAGCCCAGTGGCTTCTGACCCCAGAGACCATTGTGACCATATTCAGTCTCCTTAATGTCCCATTGTGTCTCCCTTATGTCCCCAGTGTCTCTCATGTGTCCTGATAATGTCTCCCTTGTGTCCCCATTGTACCCCCATTATGTTCCCATTATGTCTCCATTGTGTCTTCCATGTGTTCCCATTGTGTGTGTCCCCATTGTGTGTGTCCCATTGTCCCTCCTGTGTCCCCATTGTGTGTCCCCATTGTGTTCCCTTGTGTCCCATTGTGTGTCTCCCTTGTGTTCCCCTTGTGTGTTCCTTTGTGTCTCCCTTGTGTTCCCTGTGTGTGCCCCTGTGTCTCCATGTGTTCCTATTGTGTTCCCATGTGTCCCCATTGTGTCTCCCTTGTGTTCCCATTGTGTGTTCCCTGTGTCCCCATTGTGTCTCCCTGTTTGTCCCATTGTGTCTCCTTGTGTTCCCTTATGTCCCCATTGTGTTTCCATTTGTGTTCCCATTGTGTGTTCCCTGTGTCCCCATTGTGTCTCCCTTGTGTCCCATTGTTCCATTGTTCCCTTGTGTCTCCCTTGTGTTCCCATTGTGTGTTTGTGTTCCCATTGTGTGTTCCCTTGTGTCCCCCATTGTGTCTCCCTTGTGTTCCCATTGTGTTCCCCATTGTGTGTTCCATTGTGTCCCCATTGTGTTGTTCCCTGTGTCCCCATTGTGTCTCCCCTTGTGTTCCCATTGTGTGTCCCCTGTGTCCCTATTGTGTCTCCTTATGTATTCCTTTGTGTCTCCCTTCTGTTCCCTATTGTCTCCCCATTGTGTCTCCCTTGTGTTCCCATTGTGTCTCCCTTTGTGTTCCCATTGTGTGTTCCATTTGTGTTCCCATTGTGTGTTCCCTGTGTCCCCATTGTGTCTCCCTTGTGTTCCCATTGTGTCTCCCTTGTGTGTTCCCATTGTGTGTTCCCTGTGTCCCCATTGTGTGTCCCTTGTGTCCCCATTGTGTCTCCCTTGTGTCCCCATTGTGTGTCTCCCTTTGTGTTCCTCCTTGTGTCCCCCATTGTGTTCCTATTGTCTCCTTTGTGTCTCCCTTTGTGTTCCCATTGTGTCTCCCCTTTGTGTCCCATTGTGTGTTCCATTTGTGTTCCCATTGTGTGTTCCCTGTGTCCCCATTGTGTCTCCCTTGTGTTCCCATTCTGTGTGTTCCCATTGTGTGTTCCCTTTGTCCCCATTCTGTCTCCCTTTGTGTGTTCCCCCATTGTGTGTTCCATTTGTGTTCCCCATTGTGTGTTCCTGTGTGTCCCCCCCTGTTCCCCATTGTCTCCTTGTGTTCCCATGTCCATTGTGTCTCCCTGTGTTCCCATTGTGTCTCCCCTGTGTCCCCATTGTGTGTTCCCTGTGTCCCCATTGTGTCTCCCCTTTGTGTTCCCATTGTGTCCCCATTGTGTTCCCTTTATTATCTCCCCCATTGTGTCTCCCTTTATTGTCTCCTTTGTGTGTGTGTTCCTTTGTGTCTCCCCTTCCCATTGTGTTCCCCATTGTGTTCCCATTTTGTGTGTCCCCCTGTGTCCCCATTGTGTCTCCCTTGTGTTCCCATTCTGTCTCCCCTGTGTTCCCATTGTGTGTTCCTTTGTCCCCATTCCCATTGTGTCTCCCTTTGTGTTCCCATTGTGTGTGTTCCCATTGTGTTCCCATTGTGTTCCCTGTGTCCCGTTGTGTTCCTATTGTCTCCTTTGTGTCTCCCTTCTGTTCCCATTGTGCATTCCCTGTGTTCTGTTGTGTTCCTATTATCTCCTTTGTGTCTCCCTTGTGTTCTCTATTGTGCGTTCCCTGTGTCCTGTTGTGTTCCTATTATCTCCTTTGTGTCTCCCTTCTGTTCCTATTGTCTCCTTTGTGTCCCCCTTTATGTCTCCCTTTGTGTTCCCCATTGTGTGTTCCATTTGTGTTCCCATTGTGTGTTCCATTTGTGTTCCCATTGTGCGTTCCCTGTGTCCCTATTCTGTCTCCCTTGTGTTCCCATTGTGTCTCCCTTGTGTTCCCAATGTGTGTTCCCTGTGTCCCCATTGTGTCTCCCTTGTGTTCCCATTGTGCGTTCCCTGTGTCCTGTTGTGTTCCTATTATCTCCTTTGTGTCTCCCTTCTGTTCCTATTGTCTCCTTTGTGTCTCCCTTGTGTTCCCTTTGTGTCTCCCTTCTGTTCCTATTATCTCCTTTGTGTCCCCATTGTGTCTCCCTTGTGTCATATTGCTGGGTGTTGTGTTAACCAGGGAACAAAACTATGTCTCGAATAGATCGTTCATCACCTGCAAATGTACACTACCAGTATGTGATGCATTAGTTACATGTGTCACAACCATGGAGCTGTGATTTACTCTGTTCAACAAATTACACAAGGATATGGCATGTGTTGCCTTGTGGGAAACAGCACTGTTGTTGCAATGTAAGCTGAGCACTGCATGTGTTGCCTTGTGGGAAACAGCACTGTTGCAATGTAAGCTGAGCACTGCACGTGTTGTCTGGTGGGAAACAGCACTGTTGTTGCAATGTAAGCTGAGCACTGCACGTGTTGTCTGGTGGGAAACAGCGCTGTTGTTGCAATGTAAGCTGAGCACTGCACGTGTTGTCTGGTGGGAAACAGCGCTGTTGTTGCAATGTAAGCTGAGCACTGCACGTGTTGTCTGGTGGGAAACAGCACTGTTGTTGCAATGTAAGCTGAGCACTGCACGGTTGTTGTGGGGAAACTGGCGCTGTTGTTGCAATGTAAGCTGAGCACTGCACGTTGTTGTCTGGTGGGAAACAGCACTGTTGTTGCAATGTAAGCTGAGCACTGCACGTGTTGTCTGGTGGGAAACAGCGCTGTTGTTGCAATGTAAGCTGAGCACTGCACGTGTTGTCTGGTGGGAAACAGCACTGTTGTTGCAATGTAAGCTGAGCACTGCACGTGTTGTCTGGTGGGAAACAGCACTGTTGTTGCAATGTAAGCTGAGCACTGCACGTGTTGTCTGGTGGGAAACAGCACTGTTGTTGCAATGTAAGCTGAGCACTGCGCGTGTTGCCTGGTTGGAAACAGCACTGTTGTTGCAATGTAAGCTGAGCACTGCGTGTTGTCTGGTGGGAAACAGCACTGTTGTTGCAATGTAAGCTGAGCACTGCGTGTTGTCTTGTGGGAAACAGCTGTTGTTGCAATGTAAGCTGAGCACTGCACGTGTTGTCTGGTGGGAAACAGCTGTTGTTGCAATGTAAGCTGAGCACTGCACGTGTTGTCTGGTGGGAAACAGCACTGTTGTTGCAATGTAAGCTGAGCACTGCGTGTTGTCTTGTGGGAAACAAGCTGTTGTTGCAGTGTAAGCTGAGCACTGCACGCGTTGTCTTGTGGGAAACAAGCGCTGTTGTTGTTGCAGTGTAAGCTGAGCACTGCACGTGTTGCCTTGGATGATGGAAACAGCACTGTTGTTGCAATGTAAGCTGAGCACTGCACGTGTTGTCTGGTGGGAAACAGCCAGGTTGTTGCAATGTAAGCTGAGCACTGCACGTGTTGTCTTGTGGGAAACAAGCTGTTGTTGCAATGTAAGACTGAGCACATGCACGTTGCCTTGTGGGAAACATGTTGTTGCAGTGTAAGCTGAGTATGCACGTGTTGTCTGGTGGACTGCATGTTGTTGTTGCAATGTAAGCTGAGCACTGCACGTGTATGCCTTGTGGGACTGCTACATGTTGTATTGTTGCAATGTACTGCTCGAGCACTGCATTGACTGCCATGTTGTAAACATGATGTACTGTTGCAATGTATGTCTGAGCACTGCACGCATGTTGTCTGGTGGGTAATCGATGGCGCTGTTGTTGCAATGTTGTAAGATGAGCACTGCACGTGTGTTGCCTTGTGGACTGCTACATGCTGTATGTGATGCACTGTGTATGCTGATTGACTGCCACACGTGTTGTCTGGTGGGAAACAGCACTGTTATTGCAATGTAAGCTGAGCAATCTTGGTCAGACAACCTGCATCATTTTTATGTAGTGAAACACAACTTCAAGATCAGATGCTACATGTTGTATTGGATGATGAATGATGTACTGATCGATGTATGTTGTATTGACTGCTACATGTTGTATTGGATGATGTACTGATCGATGTATGTTGTATTGACTGCTACATGTTGTATTGGATGATGTTCTGATCGTGGGATGTCGTATTGACTGCTACATGTTGTATTGGATGATGTACTGATCGATGTATGTTGTATTGACTGCTACATGTTGTATTGGATGATGTTCTGATCGATGTATGTCGTATTGACTGCTACATGTTGTATTGGATGATGTACTGATCGATGTATGTTGTATTGACTGCTACATGTTGTATTGGATGATGTACTGATCGATGTATGTCGTATTGACTGCTACATGTTGTATTGGATGATGTACTGATCGATGTATGTTGTGTTGACTGCTACATGTTGTATTGGATGATGTACTGATCGATGTATGTCGTATTGACTGCTACATGTTGTATTGGATGATGTACTGATCGATGTATGTTGTATTGACTGCTACATGTTGTATTGGATGATGTACTGATCAATGTATGTTGTGTTGCAGTTACTACAAGTTGGACAATACAGAGCAGGACATCATCAACAAGTACTCTGTCTGGTTTGGTAGAAAAGGCTCTGATGGAACTAGAATGTTCTTACTGTCTGCAGGTTGGCGAGGTAAGTGCTCAATAGAGATGTCCCTGCTGACTACAGGTGTATGTCCCAGAGATGTTCTTCTGTATGTCTAGTGCCCAACATGTTCCAGAGAGACTCTTCTGTATGTATGTCTAGTACCCGATATGTCCCATAGATGCTCTTATATATGTCTAGTACCTGATATGTCCCATAGATGCTCTTCTGTATGTCTAGTACCAGATATGTCCCATAGATGCTCTTCTATATGTCTAATACCCGATATGTCCCATAGATGCTCTTCTATATGTCTAGTACCCGATATGTCCCAGGGATGCTCTTCTATATGTGTATTACCCGATATGTCTCATAGATGCTCTTCTATATGTCTAGTACCCGATATGTCCCATAGATGTTTTTTTATATGTCTAGTACCCGATATGTCCCAGGGATGCTCTTCTATATGTGTAGTAACCGATATGTCCCAGGGATGCTCTTCTATATGTCTTGTACCCGATATGTCCCATAGATGCTCTTCTGTGTGTCATGTCCCAGGTACATGTCAATAATACCAGCATGCCTGGATACTCTGTGTTTAACATAATGCATGTTTCTAGGATAACCGCAGTGTTACGCCGCTGACCCTGGGCCGCATCTCCTCCTACTACTACCTGAACCACAACACTGTACGTATGTTCTGTAATGAACTCAAGGCTGAATCAACACTGCCAGAGCTCTTGGATATTTTGTCGGTAAGTCCGGATCTTGTTAATCTGGGCCTCGTTAGCACTTCATGTCCATATGTGTGATAAACCAACTTTAAACGTATACTGAGTCAAAAAAGAAACTTCACATTCTTTCTTCAGGGCACTTAAAAAGAACAAGAGATGGTAAGATGGTTAAATTGTTATTATTTCATTGCTGAGATCTGTGTGATGTACTCGATACACTGACAGTTCCATAATCAGTTCCATTAGGCTACACCGCCGTTCCAAAACATAGGTATACAGAATGTCAAGTCACAAGAATAAAAATGCGAAATTTCTCAGTTCAATATCCTGTATGGCCGCCCCGCACATTCACCACTGCCAAACACCATCTCCTCATCGACTGCCTGATGCTTGTGAACACGTGGTTGGGGATTCTGCGCCATTGCTCTTGCAAGGCAGCGCCAAGTTCCTGCAAATTCTGAGGTTAGTTCCTAAGACCACGAAGCCTTCTCCCAAGTGCATCCCAAATGTGCTCTATTGGATTAAGGTCAGGGGACCTCGATGGCCAGTCAATGACGTTGATTCCAGTGTTTTGAAGGAGATTTCGTGTCAACATCATGGTATGCGGCCGAGCATTATCATGCTGGAACTGTAGACCTGGGCCATGAGTCGCCATGAAAGGAACGAGTTCAGGGGTGGGCACCTGGTCGCGGTAAGCAGCAGCTGTGAGGTTTCCACGGATGACCAGAAGTCGGGAACGGTTGGTCCCATAGAAAGCACCCCACACCATTCAACTTCTGCCCCCGAATCTGTCGACTTCCAGTACACATCATTGGGCATACCGTTCACGACGTCGTCTCCAGACTCTATGCCTGCCGTCCGCGAATCTGAGGGTAAACCTGGATTCATCGCTAAAGACGACTCGAATCCAGTCTCTCTGGGTCCATCGGAGGTGACGTTGGGCCCACAGCAGACGTTGACGCTGATGAAACGGCGTCAATATTGGCCCTCGATATGGACGTCGGGAATGGAGATTGACAGCCTGCAACCGATTTCGAATGGTCTGTGAGGACAGTTGACCTCTAAACATCTCAGCCCTGGTTCGTGTAGCTGGCAGAAATCTGTCACGTAGGTGACGTAGGATGATTTGACAGTCTTTTGCTCGTGACGTCACACGTGGACGACCCGACCTTGGGCGATCAGAATTGGTGGCAGTTTGTTGTAGACGACCTCGCAAGTCATACACAGTACGACGGCTGCATCCCATTGCTCTTGCGACGTCAATAACTGATCTTCCCGCTTGCAACATGCCAACGGCACGTTCACGTTGCACATTTGACAATCGTGACATTTCAAGTACCGTTAGAACTGTTGTTTAAAAGTGTTTTTTCAATTCTTGAGGCCAATGCAAACACTTCGATGCAAAGATCATGTGATCGACTGCACGTGCAAAACCTGATTTGGCACTAACGTCATTGCACGACGAATGGATAGGTTTGAGTGGGTTTTGCTAACGTTTTTCTAGTGAAAAGATAGGGATCCCATTTCGGATACATAGATGTATCATCAGAGAAAAATTATTCATTATGTTTCAAATTACATTTTGTGAAGTTTCTTTTTTCACTCAGTATATATAGAATGTGATAGATATGAAGGTGTAGTAGATGATGATCAGTTTGGGTATGTTGTCTGACGTCGTGGTTGCAGTGGTACTGATAAGGATGAAGTAGGGTCAAATAAACACATATCTGCTCCTAACTTTGTGGGCTTTTTGAGAAGTGATAGTATTGAGCTGGTAGTGATTTCACGTCTTTCCTGTTGCCTTCCCAGAATGCCCACGAGTATGCCGAGCTCCCAGTCCGCCATAATGAAGACCAGATCAACAGGTAGGTGGCTTGCATGGACTCCAGAATTTCATAATGGTTAAAATGAAATAGAAATAACAAAAAAATGTTTTGCTGAGGGACGGGTTCGATGTTGATGATGTTAACTAGAGTGGGTTCGATGTTGATGATGTTAACTAGAGTGGGTTCGATGTTGATGATGTTAACTAGAGTGGGTTCGATGTTGATGATGTTAACTAGAGTGGGTTCGATGTTGATGATGTTAACTAGAGTGGGTTCGATGTTGATGATGTTAACTAGAGTGGGTTCGATGTTGATGATGTTAACTAGAATGGGTTCGATGTTGATGATGTTCACTAGAATGGGTTCGATGTTGATGATGTTAACTAGAATGGGTGTTAACTAGAGTGGGTTCGATGTTGATGATGTTCACTAGAGTGGGTTCGATGTTGATGATATTCACTAGAGTGGGTTCGATGTTGATGATGTTCACTAGAATGGGTTCGATGTTGATGATGTTAACTAGAGTGGGTTCGATGTTGATGATGTTAACTAGAATGGGTTCGATGTTGATGATATTAACTAGAATGGGTTCGATGTTGATGATATTCACTAGAATGGGTTCGATGCTGGTGATGTTCACTAGAATGGGTTCGATGTTGATGATGTATTAGACTAGAATGGATGTTCGATGTTGATGATGTTAACTAGAATGGGTTCGATGTTGATGATGTTAACTAGAATGGGTTCGATGTTGATGATGTTAACTAGAATGGGTTCGATGCTGATGATGTTCACTAGAGTGGGTTCGATGTTGATGATGTTAACTAGAATGGGTTCGATGTTGATGATGTTAACTAGAGTGGGTTCGATGTTGATGATGTTCACTAGAGTGGGTTCGATGTTGATGATGTTCACTAGAATGGGTTCCATGCTGATGATGTTAACTAGAATGGGTTCGATGTTGATGATGTTAACTAGAATGGGTTCGATGTTGATGATGTTAACTAGAATGGGTTCGATGTTGATGATGTTAACTAGAATGGGTTCGATGTTGATGATGTTAACTAGAGTGGGTTCGATGTTGATGATGTTAACTAGAATGGGTTCGATGTTGATGATGTTAACTAGAGTGGGTTCGATGTTGATGATGTTAACTAGAGTGGGTTCGATGTTGATGATGTTAACTAGAGTGGGTTCGATGTTGATGATGTTCACTAGAATGGGTTCGATGTTGATGATGTTAACTAGAATGGGTTCGATGTTGATGATGTTAACTAGAGTGGGTTCGATGTTGATGATGTTAACTAGAATGGGTTCGATGCTGATGATGTTAACTAGAATGGGTTCGATGTTGATGATGTTAACTAGAATGGGTTCGATGTTGATGATATTCACTAGAATGGGTTCGATGTTGATGATGTTAACTAGAGTGGGTTCGATGTTGATGATGTTAACTAGAGTGGGTTCGATGTTGATGATGTTAACTAGAGTGGGTTCGATGCTGATGATGTTAACTAGAGTGGGTTCGATGTTGATGATGTTAACTAGAGTGGGTTCGATGCTGATGATATTCACTAGAATGGGTTCGATGCTGATGATATTCACTAGAATGGGTTCGATGTTGATGATGTTAACTAGAATGGGTTCGATGCTGATGATGTTAACTAGAATGGGTTCGATGCTGATGATATTCACTAGAATGGGTTCGATGTTGATGATATTCACTAGAATGGGTTCGATGTTGATGATATTAACTAGAATGGGTTCGATGCTGATGATATTAACTAGAATGGGTTCGATGTTGATGATATTAACTAGAATGGGTTCGATGCTGATGATATTAACTAGAATGGGTCTCAATGCTGATGATATTAACTAGAATGGGTTCAATGCTGATGATATTCACTAGAATGGGTTCAATGCTGATGATATTAACTAGAATGGGTTCAATGCTGATGATATTCACTAGAATGGGTTCGATGCTGATGATATTAACTAGAATGGGTTCAATGCTGATGATATTCAAGAGTGGGTTCGATGTTAGAATGGGTTCGATGTTGATGATATTAACTAGAATGGGTTCGATGTTGATGATATTCAACTAGAGTGGGTTCGATGCTGATGATATTAACTAGAATGGGTTCAATGCTGATGATATTAACTAGAATGGGTTCAATGCTGATGATATTAACTAGAATGGGTTCGATGCTGATGATATTAACTAGAATGGGTTCAATGCTGATGATATTAACTAGAATGGGTTCAATGCTGATGATATTAACTAGAATGGGTTCGATGCTGATGATATTAACTAGAATGGGTTCAATGCTGATGATATTAACTAGAATGGGTTCGATGTTGATGATATTAACTAGAATGGGTTCGATGTTGATGATGTTAACTAGAATGGGTTCAATGTTGATGATATTCCACTAGAGTGGGTTCGATGTTGATGATATTAACTAGAATGGGTTCAATGCTGATGATATTCACTAGAATGGGTTCGATGTTGATGATGTTAACTAGAATGGGTTCGATGTTGATGATGTTAACTAGAATGGGTTCGATGTTGATGATATTCAACTAGAATGGGTTCGATGCTTGATGATGTTAACTAGAATGGGTTCGATGTTGATGATGTTAACTAGAATGGGTTCGATGCTGATGATATTAACTAGAATGGGTTCGATGTTGATGATGTTAACTAGAATGGGTTCGATGCTGATGATGATATTAACTAGAATGGGTTCGATGCTGATGATGTTAACTAGAATGGGTTTGATGTTGATGATGTTAACTAGAGTGGGTTCGATGCTGATGATGTTAACTAGAATGGGTTCGATGCTGATGATGTTAACTAGAATGGGTTCATGATGTTGATGATATTAACTAGAATGGGTTCGATGCTTGATGATGTTAACTAGAATGGGTTCGATGTTGATGATGTTAACTAGAATGGGTTCGATGCTGATGATATTCACTAGAATGGGTTCTGATGTTGATGATATTAACTAGAGGGTTCGATGTTGATGATATTAACTAGAATGGGTTCGATGCTGATGATATTCACTAGAATGGGTTCGATGTTGATGATATTCACTAGAATGGGTTCGATGCTGATGATGTTCACTAGAATGGGTTCGATGCTGATGTTGATGATATTAACTAGAATGGGTTCGATGCTGATGATATTAACTAGAATGGGTTCGATGCTGATGATGTTAACTAGAATGGGTTCTGATGCTGATGATATTCACTAGAATGGGTTCGATGCTGATGATATTCACTAGAATGGGTTCGATGTTGATGATATTAACTAGAATGGGTCTCGATGCTGATGATATTAACTAGAATGGGTTCGATGTTGATGATATTAACTAGAATGGGTTCGATGCTGATGATATTAACTAGAATGGGTTCGATGCTGATGATATTAACTAGAATGGGTTCGATGCTGATGATATTAACTAGAATGGGTTCGATGATGCCGATGATGGGTTCACTAGAATGGGTCTCGATGCTGATGATATTAACTAGAATGGGTTCGATGCTGATGATATTAACTAGAATGGGTTCCGATGCTGATGATATTAACTAGAATGGGTTCGATGCTGATGATATTCACTAGAATGGGTTCGATGCTGATGATATTAACTAGAATGGGTTCGATGCTGATGATATTAACTAGAATGGGTCTAGATGGGTTGATGATATTAACTAGAATGGGTTCGATGCTGATGATATTAACTAGAATGGGTTCGATGCTGATGATATTAACTAGAATGGGTTCGATGCTGATGATATTAACTAGAATGGGTTCGATGCTGATGATATTAACTAGAATGGGTTCGATGCTGATGATATTAACTAGAATGGGTTCGATGCTGATGATGTTAACTAGAATGGGTTCGATGCTGATGATATTAACTAGAATGGGTTCGATGTTGATGATATTAACTAGAATGGGTTCGATGCTGATGATATTCAACTAGAATGGGTTCGATGTTGATGATATTAACTAGAATGGGTTCGATGCTGATGATATTCACTAGAATGGGTTCGATGTTGATGATATTCACTAGAATGGGTCTCGATGTTGATGATATTAACTAGAATGGGTCTGATGCTGGTGATGTTAACTAGAATGGGTTCGATGCCGATGATGTTAACTAGAATGGGTTCGATGCTGATGATATTCACTAGAATGGGTCCGATGTTGATGATATTCACTAGAATGGGTTCGATGCTGATGATATTAACTAGAATGTGGGTTCGATGCTGATGATATTAACTAGAATGGGTTCGATGCTGATGATATTAACTAGAATGGGTTCGATGCTGATGATATTAACTAGAATGGGTTCGATGCTGATGATATTCACTAGAATGGGTTCGATGTTGATGATATTCACTAGAATGGGTTCGATGCCGATGATATTCAACTAGAATGGGTCTCGATGTTGATGATATTAACTAGAATGGGTTCGATGTTGATGATATTCAACTAGAATGGGTCTCGATGTTGATGATATTAACTAGAATGGGTTCGATGCTGATGATATTAACTAGAATGGGTTCGATGCTGATGATATTAACTAGAATGGGTTCGATGTTGATGATATTCACTAGAATGGGTTCGATGCTGATGATATTAACTAGAATGGGTTCGATGCTGATGATATTAACTAGAATGGGTTCGATGCTGGTTGATGATATTAACTAGAATGGGTTCGATGCTGATGATATTAACTAGAATGGGTTCGATGCTGATGATATTCACTAGAATGGGTTCGATGCTGATGATATTCACTAGAATGGGTTCGATGCTGATGATATTCACTAGAATGGGTTCGATGCTGGTGATATTCACTAGAATGGGTTCGATGCTGATGATATTAACTAGAATGGGTTCGATGCTGATGATATTCACTAGAATGGGTTCGATGCTGATGATATTAACTAGAATGGGTTCGATGCTGATGATATTAACTAGAATGGGTTCGATGCTGATGATATTCACTAGAATGGGTTCGATGCTGATGATATTCACTAGAATGGGTTCGATGCTGATGATATTAACTAGAATGGGTTCGATGCTGATGATATTAACTAGAATGGGTTCGATGCTGGTGATATTCACTAGAATGGGTTCGATGCTGGTGATATTCACTAGAATGGGTTCGATGCTGATGATATTAACTAGAATGGGTTCGATGCTGATGATATTAACTAGAATGGGTTCGATGCTGGTGATATTAACTAGAATGGGTTCGATGCTGATGATATTCACTAGAATGGGTTCGATGCTGATGATATTCACTAGAATGGGTTCGATGCTGATGATATTCACTAGAATGGGTTCGATGCTGATGATATTCACTAGAATGGGTCCGATGCTGGTGATATTCACTAGAATGGGTCCGATGCTGGTGATATTAACTAGAATGGGTTCGATGCTGGTGATATTCACTAGAATGGGTTCGATGCTGGTGATATTCACTAGAATGGGTCGATGCTGATGATATTCACTAGAATGGGTTCGATGCTGATGATATTAACTAGAATGGGTTCGATGCTGATGATATTCACTAGAATGGGTCTCGATGCTGATGATATTAACTAGAATGGGTTCGATGCTGGTGATATTAACTAGAATGGGTTCGATGCTGATGATATTCACTAGAATGGGTTCGATGCTGATGATATTAACTAGAATGGGTTCGATGCTGATGATATTCACTTGGGTTCACTAGAATGGGTTCGATGCTGATGATATTAACTAGAATGGGTTCGATGCTGATGATGTTAACTAGAATGGGTTCGATGCTGATGATGATTAACTAGAATGGGTTCGATGCTGATGATATTCACTAGAATGGGTTCGATGCTGATGATGATTTAACTAGAATGGGTTCGATGTTGATGATGTTAACTAGAATGGGTTCGATGCTGATGATATTCACTAGAATGGGTTCGATGCTGATGATATTCACTAGAATGGGTTCGATGTTGATGATATTAACTAGAATGGGTTCGATGCTTGATGATATTCACTAGAATGGGTTCGATGCTGATGATATTCACTAGAATGGGTTCGATGCTGATGATATTCACTAGAATGGGTTCGATGCTGATGATATTCACTAGAATGGGTTCGATGCTGATGATATTCAACTAGAATGGGTTCGATGCTGATGATATTAACTAGAATGGGTTCGATGCTGATGATATTCACTAGAATGGGTTCGATGGGTTGATGATGATGATCAACTAGAATGGGTTCGATGCTGATGATATTAACTAGAATGGGTTCGATGCTGATGATATTCACTAGAATGGGTTCGATGCTGATGATATTCACTAGAATGGGTTCGATGCTGATGATATTAACTAGAATGGGTTCGATGCTGATGATATTCACTAGAATGGGTTCGATGCTGATGATATTAACTAGAATGGGTTCGATGCTGATGATATTAACTAGAATGGGTTCGATGCTGATGATATTCACTAGAATGGGTTCGATGCTGGTGATATTCACTAGAATGGGTTCGATGCTGATGATATTAACTAGAATGGGTTCGATGCTGATGATATTAACTAGAATGGGTTCGATGCTGATGATATTCACTAGAATGGGTTCGATGCTGATGATATTCACTAGAATGGGTTCGATGCTGATGATATTAACTAGAATGGGTTCGATGCTGGTGATATTAACTAGAATGGGTTCGATGCTGATGATATTAACTAGAATGGGTTCGATGCTGATGATATTCACTAGAATGGGTTCGATGCTGATGATATTCACTAGAATGGGTTCGATGCTGATGATATTCACTAGAATGGGTTCGATGCTGATGATATTAACTAGAATGGGTTCGATGCTGATGATATTCACTAGAATGGGTTCGATGCTGATGATATTAACTAGAATGGGTTCGATGCTGATGATATTCACTAGAATGGGTTCGATGCTGATGATATTCACTAGAATGGGTTCGATGCTGATGATATTCACTAGAATGGGTTCGATGCTGATGATATTCACTAGAATGGGTTCGATGCTGATGATATTCACTAGAATGGGTTCGATGCTGATGATATTAACTAGAATGGGTTCGATGCTGGTGATATTCACTAGAATGGGTTCGATGCTGATGATATTCACTAGAATGGGTTCGATGCTGGTGATATTCACTAGAATGGGTTCGATGCTGGTGATATTCACTAGAATGGGTTCGATGCTGATGATATTCACTAGAATGGGTTCGATGCTGGTGATATTCACTAGAATGGGTTCGATGCTGATGATATTAACTAGAATGGGTTCGATGCTGATGATATTAACTAGAATGGGTTCGATGCTGATGATATTAACTAGAATGGGTTCGATGCTGATGATATTCACTAGAATGGGTTCGATGCTGGTGATATTCACTAGAATGGGTTCGATGCTGGTGATATTCACTAGAATGGGTCCGATGCTGGTGATATTCACTAGAATGGGTTCGATGCTGATGATATTCACTAGAATGGGTTCGATGCTGATGATATTAACTAGAATGGGTTCGATGCTGATGATATTCACTAGAATGGGTTCGATGCTGGTGATATTCACTAGAATGGGTTCGATGCTGATGATATTCACTAGAATGGGTTCGATGCTGATGATATTCACTAGAATGGGTTCGATGCTGATGATATTCACTAGAATGGGTTCGATGCTGATGATATTAACTAGAATGGGTTCGATGCTGATGATATTAACTAGAATGGGTTCGATGCTGATATTTCACTAGAATGGGTTCGATGCTGATGATATTAACTAGAATGGGTTCGATGCTGATGATATTAACTAGAATGGGTTCGATGCTGGTGATATTCACTAGAATGGGTTCGATGCTGATGATATTCACTAGAATGGGTTCGATGCTGATGATATTCACTAGAATGGGTTCGATGCTGGTGATATTCACTAGAATGGGTTCGATGCTGATGATATTCACTAGAATGGGTTCGATGCTGATGATATTCACTAGAATGGGTTCGATGCTGGTGATATTCACTAGAATGGGTTTGATGCTGATGATATTAACTAGAATGGGTTCGATGCTGATGATATTCACTAGAATGGGTTCGATGCTGGTGATATTCACTAGAATGGGTTCGATGCTGATGATATTAACTAGAATGGGTTCGATGCTGATGATATTCACTAGAATGGGTTCGATGCTGGTGATATTCACTAGAATATAAACCCATGATGATGAAACTAAGGTGTCCACGAAATCGGGCACAGATGCCAGGCCACTTGTCCTAGGATTTACAGCTGACTGACTCACTCACTGACTGATGTGTTATGTATCCTGACAGTGACTTGGCCCAGAAGGTTCCCCTGGCAGTGAACCCTCACTCATACGACTCGGCCCACACCAAGACCCACATCCTGCTGCAGGCTCACTTCTCCCAGATGCAGCTGCCGTCAACCGACTACTACACTGACACAAAGTCTGTGCTGGACCAAGCCATTAGGATCCTCCAGGTGGGTCCCCTCATCAATCGTTTCAGATGTTCTCAAACAGTACAAGGGAGACAACTCTGTCACCAGTGTCTCTGTCCTTGTTTGTTAGTCACATACAGTGTTGTGGATGCCTTAGGGCTTCGACTTTCTGAATGTGCACACATTCCTTCAACCTTCATCAATTTAAATTAAATATATCTTATGTCAACTTCAGTGTAGGATCAGTGTTTTGCATGTGTGTCTAAAACGCTTTTTGCAAGGGCGGTTGTGAAACTATACCCAATGAGACATTGTGTACCCAGCTCTAGAGACCTAAGAGATACAGGTAAGATTGGGATGGCACTCTAGGTTGTAAAATTTGGACTTGTTCCTGCCCTAGATGGCAAAATAATTCTTTGTTTGCAATGTTTTTGAAGCTGTCCACCTTACAAGAGTTACAGCTTTCACTTTGTTTCACCTCCCTTCACAGGCCATGTTGGATGTGTCGGCAGACCAGGGCTGGTTGGCAACATCACTGCGGGTGATTCAGTTGATACAGATGGTGGTGCAAGGTCGATGGCTTGAGGACTCCACCCTTCTCACTCTCCCTAACATCATGCCCTACCACGTGTACTGTTTCAGGTACATACAGTCCTGTCATTCCTTGTGTCAGGTACATACAGTCCCATCATTCCATGTGTCAGGTACATACAGTCCCATCATTCCATGTGTCAGGTACATACAGTCCCATCATTCCTTGTGTCAGGTACATACAGTCCCATCATTCCATGTGTCAGGTACATACAGTCCCATCATTCCATGTGTCAGGTACATACAGTCCCATCATTCCTTGTGTCAGGTACATACAGTCCCATCATTCCATGTGTCAGGTACATACAGTCCCATCATTCCATGTGTCTGGCACATACAGTCCCATCATTCCTTGTGTCAGGTACATACAGTCCCATCATTCCATGTGTCTGGTACATACAGTCCCATCATTCCTTGTGTCAGGCACATACAGTCCCATCATTCCATGTGTCAGGTACATACAGTCCCATCATTCCATGTGTCAGGTGCATACAGTCCCATCATTCCATGTGTCAGGTACATACAGTCCCATCATTCCTTGTGTCAGGTACATACAGTCCCACCATTACTTGTGTCAGGTACATACAGTCCCATCATTCCATGTGTCGGGTGCATCCCATCATTCCATGTGTCAGGTACATCAGTACAGTCCATACATCATTCCATGTGTCAGGTACATACATTCCCATCATTCCATGTGTCAGGGACATACAGTCCCATCATTCCATGTGTCAGGTACATACAGTCTCATCATTCCATGTGTCAGGTACATACAGTCTCATCATTCCATATGTCAGGTACATACAGTCCCATCATTCCTTGTGTCAGGCACATACAGTCCCATCATTCCTTCTGTCAGGCACATACAGTCGCATCATTCCTTGTGTCAGGTACATTCAGTCCCATCATTCCATGTGTCAGGTACATACAGTCCCATCATTCCATATGTCAGGTACATACAGTCCCATCATTCCATATGTCAGGTACATACAGTCCCATCATTCCTTGTGTCAGGTACATACAGTCCCATCATTCCATGTGTCAGGTACATACAGTCCCATCATTTCATGTGTCAGGTACATACAGTCCCATCATTCCTTCTGTCAGGTACATACAGTCCCATCATTCCTTGTGTCAGGTACATACAGTCCCATCATTCCTTGTGTCAGGTACATACAGTCCATCATTCCATGTGTCAGGTACATACAGTCCCATCATTCCTTGTGTCAGGTACATACAGTCCCATCATTCCTTGTGTCAGGTACATACAGTCCCATCATTCCTTGTGTCAGGTACATACAGTCCCATCATTCCATGTGTCAGGTACATACAGTCCCATCATTCCTTGTGTCAGGTACATACAGTCCCATCATTCCTTGTACAGGTACATACAGTCCCATCATTTCCTTGTGTCAGGTACATACAGTCCCATCATTCCTTGTGTCAGGTACATACAGTCCCATCATTCCTTGTGTCAGGTACATACAGTCCATCATTCCTTGTGTCCAGGTACATACAGTCCCATCATTCCTTGTGTCAGGTACATACAGTCCCATCATTCCATGTGTCAGGCACATACAGTCCATCATTCCTTGTGTCCAGGTACATACAGTCCATCATTCCATTCCATGTGTCAGGTACATACAGTCCCATCATTCCATGTGTCAGGTACATACAGTCCCATCATTCCATGTGTCAGGCACATCCATCATTCCTTGTGTCAGGTTTGCATACAGTCCCATCATTCCATGTGTCAGGCACATACAGTCCATCATTCCATGTGTCATTCAGTCCCATCATTCAGATGTGTCAGGTACATACGGTCCCATCATTCCATGTGTCAGGTACATACAGTCCCATCATTCCATGTGTCAGGTACATACAGTCCCATCATTCCTTGTGTCAGGTACATACAGTCCCATCATTCCTTGTGTCAGGTGTCAGGTACATACAGTCCCATCATTCCTTGTGTCAGGTACATACAGTCCCATCATTCCTTGTGTCAGGTACATACAGTCCATCATTCCATGTGTCAGGTACATACAGTCCCATCATTCCTTGTGTCAGGCACATACAGTCCCATCATTCCTTGTGTCAGGTACATACAGTCCCATCATTCCATGTGTCAGGTACATACAGTCCCATCATTCCATGTGTCAGGTACATACAGTCCCATCATTCCTTGTGTCAGGTACATACAGTCCCATCATTCCATGTGTCAGGTACATACAGTCCCATCATTCCATGTGTCAGGTACATACAGTCCCATCATTCCTTGTGTCAGGTACATACAGTCCCATCATTCCATGTGTCAGGTACATACAGTCCCATCATTCCTTGTGTCAGGTACATACAGTCCCATCATTCCATGTGTCAGGTACATACAGTCCCATCATTCCTTGTGTCAGGTACATACAGTCCCATCATTCCATGTGTCAGGTACATACAGTCCCATCATTCCATGTGTCAGGTACATACAGTCCCATCATTCCATTGTGTCAGGTACATACAGTCCCATCATTCCTTGTGTCATTCCTTGTGGGTACATACAGTCCCATCATTCCATGTGTCAGGTACATACAGTCCCATCATTCCATGTGTCAGGTACATACAGTCCCATCATTCCATGTGTCAGGTACATACAGTCCCATCATTCCATGTGTCAGGCACATACAGTCCCATCATTCAATGTGTCAGGCACATACAGTCCCATCATTCCATATGTCAGGTACATACAGTCCCATCATTCCTTGTGTCAGGTACATACAGTCCCATCATTCCTTGTGTCAGGTACATACAGTCCCATCATTCCATATGTCAGGTACATACAGTCCCATCATTCCATGTGTCAGGTACATACAGTGCCATTGTTCAATATGTCCGATGAAATGAAGTGACATACAAGGTGTGTTCATGTGTTTAGGCCCCGAGGGGGAGGTGCCAGACAGAAAGGTTTCCCGGAGCTGCGAGGACCAATCGAGACTCTCCCAGAGCTTGTGGCAGTTTGTGATGGGAAGTTTGAGGCCCTGGCTGCCATGTTGAGTGGTGAGATGAACCAAACGGAGATTGATCAGGTGAGCTGACACTGTGTCTGCCATGATGTAGCAGGATGGTGCTGGTGCAAGCAGGATGATGCTGGGCAAGCTAGCTGACACTGTGTCTGCCATGATGTAGCAGGATGGTGCTGGGCAGAGCTAGCTGACACTGTGTCTGCCATGATGCTAGGGATGGGTGCTGGGCAAGTTAGCTGACACTGTGTCTGCCATGATGTAGCAGGATGGTGCTGGATCAGGTGAGCTGACACTGTGTCTGCCATGATGTAGCAGGATGATGCTGGGCAAGCCAGCTTGTGTAAGGGACAAACTGACACATATCATGTATGGTTATACTAACAGAGAGTATTGTCATTTTTGGAGATTTTTTACGTAAAAAGGTCATAATATCATATTTCTACATTTATTATCAGTAAAACAACAACTGCTGATCATTTTAGAATTAAAATGAAAGATGGTCAGAAGATATAATTATAATGTTTGGCTTCAGGTGTACCTGGTATTGAGTCGTCTGCCTCAAATCAGTGTCTCCATCACAGTCAAGGGATTCTGGGAAGGGTCAAAGGGCAAGCAGGAGGAGAGATTGGTCAATCTATCCGTTACAGGTAGGACTTTTTTCATTCATTAAAGACAACTGTTCCTTGTACCTGCTGCAACAAAGCTAACAAGAATGTCTCTGCCAACTGTAATTTGATGATGATGATGATGATGATGATGATGATGATGATGATGATGATGATGATGATGATGATGATGATGATGATGATGATGATGATGATGATGATGATGATGATGTACCTGCTATAGGTGGGCGGCGGCAAGACTCGGACTGGATCAAGGTCCATGCTGACCAGGAATATGTCCTTCAGGTCGAACTGGCCAGAGTCAACAAGACCCGGGTGAGTTGTGTAGTACCAGTAACCCTCATGTACAGTGATGGCATGGACATCCAAGATGTCAAATATGTGCAGTTGTCTTTTGTTACTGTCACACTTTGCAATATTCCAGCTGTATGATGGCAGTCTGTAAATAATCAAGTCTTGACCAGCCCGTCAAGGTCCTCAAGCATCAAGTCTTGAACAGACCGTCAAGGTCCTCAAGCATCAAGTCTTGACCAGACTGTCAAGGTCCTCAAGCATCAAGTCTTGACCAGACCGTCAAGGTCCTCAAGCATCAAGTCTTGACCAGACCGTCAAGGTCCTCAAGCATCGATCCGTGCAACTGGGATATGATGGCATGTTTCAACCAAGACAACAAACCTGCCCAGCCAATCACTCCTAACTGCAAGCAAGGCTCACTGAATAGGAATGATTTTTTATGGACAGACAACTTCTTTATTGCAATAGATAGGACATTTCAGTCTATCTTACCATTACTGATTATCTTACCATTACTGATTATCTTACCTCACACATAAATGTCGCTTTCTGATTGGCTTAGCGCTCTTCTATTATTTTCAATGTACCCCGCTTACAAGCGAGTAACATTTCAATGTACCCGCTGTCAATGGCAACTCATTTGGTACTTCGTGGTAGCAATTCTTTATCTTGAAAAACATTGAATCACATATGATGTACGGAAAATAATCATGTTTTGCGAATGGAAATGGATGGAAGGGAGATAACTCTAAATCTGTTTTTCTTGTCAGCAAAATCTAGCGATGGCTACAATAAGTTTTGTACCGGTGCTTCAAACAATTCAAAATTAACATTAAGGTGTTCGGTAAGATAAATACGTTGTTCACTGGTCCTTCGGGCTTAGGGAACATATTCAAACGTTGAGGGTTCATCGACCCATGCCCCCCTCGTGACCAGTGAACAACTTATAATGTAACAATGAGACAACATAATTGACACAACTGGCTAAGCAGTAAGCTGATGAAGCCAGTGAGTACACAAAGGGTAGGGCCTGGAAGCCAGTGAGTACACAAAGGGTAGGGCCTGGAAGCCAGTGAGTACACAAAGGGTAGGGCCTGGAAGCCAGTGAGTACACAAAGGGTAGGGCCTGGAAGCCAGTGAGTACACTAAGGGTAGGGCCTGGAAGCCAGTGAGTACACAAAGGGTAGGGCCTGGAAGCCAGTGAGTACACAAAGGGTGCCTGGAAGCCAGTGAGTACACAAGGGGTAGGGCCTGGAAGCCAGAGAGTACACACAAAGGGTAGGGCCTGGAAGCCAGTGAGTACACAAAGGGTAGGGCCTGGAAGCCAGAGATGTACACAAAGGGTAGGGCCTGGAAGCCAGAGATGTACACAAAGGGTAGGGCCTGGAAGCCAGTGAGTACACAAAGGGTAGGGCCTGGAAGCCAGAGATGTACACAAGGGTAGGGTAGGGGCCTGGAAGCCAGTGAGTACACAAAGGGTAGGGCCTGGAAGCCAGTGAGTGCACAAGGGGTACACAAAAGGGTGGGGCCTGGAAGCAAGAGATGTACACAAAGGGTAGGGCCTGGAAGCCAGAGATGTACACAAAGGGTAGGGCCTGGAAGCAAGAGATGTACACAAAGGGTAGGGCCTGGAAGCCAGTGAGTACACAAAGGGTAGGGCCTGGAAGCCAGTGAGTACACAAAGGGTAGGGCCTGGAAGCCAGAGATGTACAAATAAAGGAGTAGTTAAAGGAGGAGGAGATGTTCATACAATAGATTGGGCATGGTGGAGATGTTCATACAATAGATTGGGCTTGGTGGAGATGTTCATACAATAGATTGGGCTTGGTGGAGATGTGCACACAATAGATTGGGCTTGGTGGAGATGTTCATACAATAGATTGGGCTTGGTGGAGATGTTCATACAATAGATTGGGCTTGGTGGAGATGTTCATACAATAGATTGGGCTTGGTGGAGATGTTAATACAATAGATTGGGCTTGGTGGAGATGTTCATACAATAGATTGGGCTTGGTGGAGATCTTCATACAATAGATTGGGCTTGGTGGAGATGTTAATACAATAGATTGGGTTTGGTGGAGATGTGCACACAATAGATTGGGCTTGGTGGAGATGTTCATACAATAGATTGGGCTTGGTGGAGATGTTCATGCAATAGATTGGGCTTGGTGGAGATGTGCATACAATAGATTGGGCTTGGTGGAGATCTTCATACAATAGATTGGGCTTGGTGATGTTCATACAATAGATTGGGCTTGGTGGAGATGTTAATACAATAGATTGGGCTTGGTGGAGTTGTTCATACAGTAGATTGGGCTTGGTGGAGATGTTCATACAATAGATTGGCCTTGGTGGAGATGTTCATACAATAGATTGGGCTTGGTTGAGATGTTCATACAATAGATTGGGCTTGGTGGAGATGTTCATACAATACATTGGCCTTGGTGATGTTCATACAATAGATTGGGCTTGGTGGAGATGTTCATACAATAGATTGGGCTTGGTGGAGATGTGCATACAATAGATTGGGCTTGGTGGAGATGTTAATACAATAGATTGGGCTTGGTGGAGATGTTCATACAATAGATTGGGCTTGGTGATGTTCATACAATAGATTGGGCTTGGTGGAGATGTTCATACAATAGATTGGGCTTGGTGGAGATGTGCATACAATAGATTGGGCTTGGTGGAGATGTTCATACAATAGATTGGGCTTGGTGATGTTCATACAATAAATTGGGCTTGGTGGAGATGTTCATACAATAGATTGGGCTTGGTGGAGATCTTCATACAATAGATTGGGCTTGGTGGAGATGTTCATACAATACATTGGGCTTGGTGGAGATGTTCATACAATAGATTGGGCTTGGTGGAGTTGTTCATACAATAGATTGGGCTTGGTGGAGATGTTCATACAATAAATTGGGTTTGGTGGAGATGTTCATACAATAGATTGGGCTTGGTGGAGATGTTCATACAATAAATTGGGTTTGGTGGAGATGTTCATACAATAGATTGGGCTTGGTGGAGATGTTCATACAATAGATTGGGCTTGGTGGAGATGTTCATACAATAGATTGGGTTTGGTGGAGATGTTCATACAATAGATTGGGCTTGGTGGAGATGTGCATCATAAGCGGATGGAATGAAGTATCCTTGGTCACGGTTGATGCTGGTCTTTGGCGTTTGATGTGAATGGCTTCGGTGAGCTTGCATTTAGTAAAGTCCATTTGGTTGTTAGCGAGAATGAGAATATATACATGAAGGATAGGTCAATCCATTAGACATTGTTCCTTTCATCCTACCAGCTTCTAAATGGCACTCAAAGAAGGGTTCCCGAAGACCAATTCTAACCTTGATGTAGTCAGGTCTCCTGCATGTGGTAACAACTGACTGGGCATCAATAGTCAGGCTCTGGGTCTTGTCTGTGTCAGGTTGTCATTGCCTATGCTGCTTATAGTTTCACTTTCACTTTGCTCTAGTCCAAACATATTCACTTACAGAGCCACATCACAGATATATTGCTGCCTGCTTGTGCACAAGATGAAAGTATCAAATGCTTTACAGCAAATAAGATAGTGCAGTAGCCAAATGGTTAAAGCATACGCTTGTCACAGCAAAGACCATGGATCAGTTCCATGGCTCCAGTGTATAACACCTGTCTCACTCACTCATTCATGACAATAATTTGTTCCTTCAGAAGAATGACAGCAAGGCGCACAGTCCACGGTTCCCGAAGCCCAAGGATGAAGGCTGGGTTCTTGTGGTCGGCGAGGTGGAGACCAAGGAACTCATCGCACTCAAGCGGATGGGGTACGTGCGGAGTCGCTCCAAGGCCCAACTTGCTCTGTACACACCGGAGACGGTGGGACGTGTCATCTACACCCTCTACCTGATGAGTGACTCCTACCTTGGGCTTGACCAGCAGTACGACATCTGCCTGGATGTTGTGCCATCCAACATCGAGACACAGGTCAACACTGAGCTCAAGGAGGAACTGGATGGTCTTGAGTTTGATAGCTGAAAATGTCTTTATGATTTGATGACATACATCAAGTATAAAGACTTGAAAGTATGGTGTTTGGAAGTGAGATGTAACATTCCACGTGGCTGACATCCTCTGCCAGGTGTTCGTCCTCGGTGGGAGGATGTTCCACCACAAACATTCACAGTGAAACCATGCCACTTTTCATAATCGATTCACCTTCAGATGAGCTCTTTTCTTCTTCCTTTTTCTAGTTTTATCTATAAATATATTCATTCTGGGTTTTTGTTCATATAAATGACAAAGGGTAACACTATATTTTGTTGATCAGGAAACATGACATCACTCGGGATGCTTCTGTCTGGATTATCCAGGTTTCACTGTGAACAGGTTACCTGTAACATGCTCTCAAAGCTGGTCACATGTCTCACTAAACCAAGAAGAATCTCGTCATGAGGATTGAGGGAACAGCACAAAGCAATATGTCTTTCTTGTGTGTCATGATACACATGATGATACACAGCATATGATACACAACACATATACATGGTACATCTACCTATGTGATACACAACACGTATACATGGTACACCTACCTATGTGATACACCAACATACCTATGTCATCTACCTATGTGATACACGGCATGTGATACACACATACATAATAACACATATACCGTACATCTACCTATGTGATACACAACAACGTACACCTGTGTCATACGCAGTGTGACAACAACGTATACACAGTACACCTTCCTATGTGATACACAACACGTATACACGGTACATCTACCTATGTGATACACAACACGTATACACAGTACACCTACCTATGTCATACACGGCATGTGATACACAACACGTATACTCGGTACACCTTCCTATGTGATACATAGCATGTGATACACAACATGTATACACAGCATGTGATACACAACACGTATACACGGCATATGATACGCGGTATGTGATACACAAGTATACATGGCATGTGATACACAACACGTATACACGGCATGTGATACACGGCATGTGATACACAACAAGTATACATGGCATGTCATACACAACACGTATACACGGTACACCTACCTATGTGATACACGGCATGTGATACACAACACATATACACGGTACATCTACCTATGTGATACACAACACGTATACACGGTACACCTACCTATGTGATACATGGCATGTGATACACAACACGTATACACGGTACACCTACCTATGTCATACACGGCATGTGATACACAACATGTATACACGATACATCTACCTATGTGATACACAACACGTATACATGGTACATCTACCTATGTGATACACAACACGTATACACGGTACACCTACCTATGTCATACACGGCATGTGATACACAACATGTATACACGGTACATCTACCTATGTGATACACAAAACATATACACGGTACACCTACCTATGTGATACACAACACGTATACACGGTACACCTACCTATGTGATACACAACACGTATACATGGTACACCTACCTAGGTGATACACAACACGTATACACGGTACACCTACCTATGTGTAAGATCATATTGTGAAAGAAATGTGTATACTTGTGGATGAGGCAAACTGTCCAATGATGCGATGTACATAAAATGGTTAATAACACATGAATTGATGTAAGTACACTCATGAATGTAAGTCACTGTTCCGTTCCTTCACCTGGGTCTTTCTCTGTTATATCCATAATATCGTTGGAAGCTGGCAGGAACTTGGAGTTTCCAGGTTTGCAAGGAGGACATTGCTAGTCAGGTGAAAACGTGCGAGATCACCTGATTGTTGCTGTGGTATAGCATCCTCAATCTGTTGACTTACCAGGGATCATAACATGGATCATAACATGGATCATAGGATCCAGCATGCCAAAGGGGTGCTGCTCTACACAGCAAACTGCAAAACGTATCTCCAGGATCAGCCATTCTCTGGACTGAGCCACACTTTTTGTTTTGAAGTCTGTGAGGACACTGTATCATCGTGTAGCAAGATACAAGTGCCGACATACTTGTACATCCATGGATATCTAATGCCCTTGTGTCACCTAATGTGGTGACCATCACTGTTCTAGGATATCAGATCCAGAAACTCAGAGATTCAATGATTCAGCTGTTAGAATATATGGTGTCAGTGATTCAACAATTCAGTGTATGAGTGTACAGAATCAGTGATTAAACTATACAGTCTTTAAGTTTTACAAAATCAGTTATTCAACAATTCAGTGTTTAAATGTGCAGAATCAGCAATTCAGTTATTCAGTATTCGAGTGAACAGAATCAGTGTTCAAGTGTACAGAATCAATGATTCAGTGTTTGAGTGTACAAAATCAGTGATTCAGTGTTCAAGTGTACAGAATCAATGATTCAGTGTTTGAGTGTACAAAATCAGTGATTCAATGATTCAGTGTATGAGTGTACAGAATCAATGATTCAGTGTTCGAGTGTACAGAATCAGTGATTCAGTGTTCGCGTGTACAGGTTCAATGATTCAGTGTTTGAGTGTACAAAATCAGTGATTCAATTATTCAGTGTATGAGTGTACAGAATCAGTGATCGCGTGTACAGGTTCAGTGATTCAATGATTCAGTGTTCGAGTGTACAGAATCAGTGATTCAGTGTTCGAGTGTACAGAATCAATGATTCAGTGCTTAAATGTGCTGAATCAACAATTCTATGATTCAGTGGTTGAGTGTACATGATGTGGCTATAGTCAGCATGTGATTGAGAGCTGGCTAAATTGTAAATACAAATGTTTTCTGAATGTACATTTTGTAAAACATGGAATAAAATCTATTTCAAGAGAAAGATACTTTTTAACTTGTTCTGTAGTGGAGGTACACTGAGATGAGGATTGGTTGGTTGGTTGGTTGGTTGTTTAATGCCACACTCAGCAATATTCCAGATATATGGCGGTGGTCTGTAAATAATCGAATCTGGACCAGACAATCCAGTGATCAACAGCATGAGCATTAATCTGCGCAATTGTGAACCGACGACATGTGTCAACCAAGTCAGCGAGCCTGACCACCCGATCCTGTTAGTCACCTCTTACAAGCATGGGTTACTGAAGATCAATAACACGTACCAGGGGACAATGACCTGCAACCAAGCTGGACACCTGGTGTCCTCTGCTATCAACGTCATGCAACCACCGAGATATTTAACTTGGTGTGCCTTCTGCTATCAATTGTACCAACAGCATTTTATTATCCAAACTCTGTGTTTGCCATTAACTAGAAGCTATAAAACTAACAGTTTCCATGGAGACGGCTGAACTCTTGATGTGAATACTCATTAAAGAAAACCACCCTGGAAAAGTTTAGTAGTTTTATTTTTTATTTCATTAACTGCAATGTAGAAAAAAAATATAAAAATATAACATATAATAGCTATAGCTATATCATTAAGATAAATAACAGCTTACAAGCGTGGAATATCACAGTGAATATATTCTAAATCTGGTGATCATATTTAAACAGTATTTTTATTTCCCGAAAGACATGTGATATACATTAAACATGATTAAGTTACAAAAAGGAAAAATGATCAGCAAACAGGCTGCATCAGCCTATGTAAATGCTTCTCCTAAACATAATCTTGCAGAGAATGATTTTATAAGTACATTTGTGGAAATAAGTAATTCAATAATTTCAAACTAAGTAAAGCATATGGTACCACACTTCATGGAAAACGGTTGGTATCATTTAAGAAACTGTAAACCGATTTTATTATTAATTCGTTTTCATACTGGGACAAAGATTCACCGCTGCTTAGAATAGCATGTAAACTTATATTATTTTGAAAGAAGTATTTATTAAATCTAAACCTATCATATAGAGGACACTGAAGGAAATAATGGTAAGCATCTTCTCGAGTGTTCCCACAGGAGCAGGTTCGGCTGTCTGACAAATATCTATCAAACAAGTGAGAATTAAGATCACTGCAGCCCAGGCGCAAACGACAGCGAAGAATTTGACCTCGCCTGGGACCATACGATATATAATTCTTAAATGTTGGGGATAATGTCATGTCACAAGATATACATTTCTTAAATTTTGATAATGATTCTACATTTCTAATATTGATGTCAAGCGAATTCCATGCCTTAACAGTAGATAGGAGAAAAGAATTATTAAAGTAAGATACACGCCCTGCATTACATTGGAGATTATCGGAGTTTAAGCAAATTATAGAGGCTTTGATTAGAAACATTTGGTGGTACCCATATTGAGAGATATTGTGGTGTTAACCCATTTACCATTTTGTAGAACATACATAATTTATGATAGTGGCGTCTTTCGACTAAAGAACAATATCCTGTTTCAGCATAAAGTTTATCATGACTTGTGCCTCTCACTGCACCTGAAATAGTCCTAAGGGCATCTAAATGTAGCTTCTCTATCAGATGAGCCTGCTCCTTGGTACAGTTATCCCAGATGGTATCACAGTAGTCAAATATAGGCAAAATATATGATTTATACATAGTTTCAAGTGATATTCTGTTTAGCCTGTGTTTCAAACTTCTCAGACAATTTATTAGTGGACTTGCTTTGGCTAGTATATAATTAATATGATTCTGCCATTTTCCATCATCTTGTATAATCAGACCAAGATGTTTATGTTCACAAACTTCAGAAATCGCAGTATTATTAAGTGTTAATTGAAGTTTCGGACTTGCATTGGAGAATAACATAGCTTCTGTCTTTTCAGGGTTGAAATTAACCTGCCACTTGGAAGCCCAGTCTGAAATACGTTCAAGGTCATTATTAAGCAATGTCTGTGTCCGAAACGGATCTTCAATTACTAAGTATAGGGAAGTATCATCAGCAAAGAGTTTAACGTTACTTACTATTCCGTTGGTTAAATCGTTTATATAGACGAGAAATAATAGTGGCCCCAAGACAGAGCCTTGAGGAACACCAGCCGATACAAATTTTGGACTCGATTTGTGGCCATTAATCACAACTGACTGTTTTCTATTACTAAGATAATTTTCAAACCAAAGCAATAGTTTTCCAGTTATTCCTATGGATTCAAGTTTTGATACCATCCCTGCGTGCCAAACACGATCGAAGGCCTTGCTGATATCACAAAAGACAGCTCGGACTTCTTTACCCTCATCTAGAGCCTTTGATAAAACCAGGTTTAAATCCAGACTGATGTTTCGATATAATATCATTATCCATAAAGAAATTATAAACGTGCTTGAATATACACTTTTCAAATACTTTAGCCAAACAACAAGATAGAGCAACTGGCCTATAATTATTACAATCATGCACACTTCCTTTTTTGTGAAGAGGGACAACTGCCGAAAATTTCCAAATGTCGGGAAATTGAGAATGTTTTAGGGATAGATTCAAAAGCTTCGTAACGGGTCTATGGAGAGGCCGAGCTAAAACTTTTAATAATTTATTGCTGATATTATCAGGACCCTTAGCTTTCTTTGTGTCTAAACACACCAGGATATCATACACTTCATTTTCCGTTAGAGAATTATATCTAATTTGTTTTAAGCTGTGAGTGGGAGGAGGTGAGTCGATATTAGGTTAAATCAACTTGGGCTTGTTCTGTGAAGTATTCATTAAACGCATTAGCAATGTCATCTGCATCTTCTAGAACAGTACCGTTGTGTGTGATAGGTGAAAACTGTTTACCTGAATTTCTATTTTTCTTAATATGCTTATTTACTAATCGCCACCATGATTTAGTTCCTCTATCGGTGTTAATGATATCATCAAGTTTCAAATCATATCTTGCGTTTAGCTTTTCTAACTTCGAAATGACTTTGTTTCTAGCGACTTTAAAACATTCCCAATGATAGGTATCATTTTTTCGTTTAGCAACTTTATGTAGGCGGTTTCTTTTCCTCATTAATTTCCATGAGATATCCGTTCATCCATATACAGTCTCGAGGTCTTATAACTACTTCTTTATTTGGAATATATTTATTGATTAATCTACTGAGCGTGGATGTAAAAGTTTCAACAGAGATATTAATATCATCACTAAACAGAGTGTCCCAATCGGTTGATGATATACTATCACTTAACCCATCGTAGTCTGCACGGTTATAGTCATAAATTGTTCTCTTAAATGCATCCTTGAAGTGTTTCCCAAATTTTAAACCCCTCCACCCCTTGTCGGTCTATCTTTACGAAGTGGCGGATGATACCCGGATATAGCTATAGAATCATTCGTTACGTCATGACTTAACCAAGTCTCAGATAAACAAATGACGTCATAGTGACTGTATTCGGCAGCAAGTAGATCAACTTTATCTCTCAAGCTACGTATGTTTAAATGGATAATACTAAGATCAGGACCCGGGTTTGGATGTACGTCTCCACAGTATATCAATAATAAAGAAATCATAGGACTATGCAAAAACAAGTAAATCTATCAAAACGGCGACTATTTCTACTAGAGGTAATAGCAGCGAACAACCCTACTACCATCCTATACTGAGTTATGTCAACCCCCCATCGATCTGTCTTACGAACAATATGAAGTTGGAGGCAGTGGGACGTGCTGCTTGAGGAATATGCTTCGTGTAGTGAGGTAAAACATTATGTGGAACATTTGAAGTATGAGAATAGTAAATAGAAAATGAGGTTGTGGTACCAACATGCAAGGATAACTTCTGTTTAGACATCTGAACATGCGTGAAATAGATGGACGTAGTACATGTCGGTTGGTAAAGAAACGATAAAAAAATAAATACAATCAAAACTCAAAAAAATGGAGAACGTGGGTGAGTAGTCATATCAATGACTTCGGCACGACCTTACCCATATGAAGAAATATATAAATAAGTCGACGTATTGGAACGTTATTTACAATTCAATAAGTATCATAAGACTTTACGATAATCCCCTGAGACAAGTACTGATAACTGTACAATATATTGGAGATAAATAAATACAAAGTAAACCAGACCAAGACGAAAATACCCACAACCAGACAAAACAAACATACAAAGACCACAACATGTAAATAATGACGTGTCAAGTGTATTTAGGGACAGTAAAACAGATACAATGAGATAGTTGCTTTCACTTTTCCTATTGTCTATAATTGTGAACAGCTGCTATGTATGCATGTTCTGAATGAAGAGCCCGTGCGGGTCGTGTGGCATGAACTATGCTTGCTCAGCTTACACTGAGTGTGGATACCTGGTGTACCTGGATAATGTTATTGATTGAAAATTACAGGTATGTAATTTTATTAATATGTCAATTATAACTACTGTTTAGACATCTGTAAATGCGTGAAGTAAATGGACGTAGTACACGTCGGTTGGTAAAGAAACGATAAGAAAAAAACACAAAAACAAAACAAACCCCAACTAAATACAATCAAAACTCCAAACTATGGAGAACAGTGGGAGAGTAGTCATATCAATGACTTCGCAATGATTACCCATATGAAGAAATATATAAATAAGTCGGCGTATTGGAACGTTATTTACAATTCAATAAGTACCCTAAGAGTTTATGATAATCCCCCGGGACAAGTACTGACAATTGTACAATATATTGGAGATAAATAAATACAAAGTAAACCAGACCAAGACGAAAATACCAACAGACAGACAAAAACAAACATACAAAGACCACAACATGTAATGTAATGGCATGTCAAGTGTATTTAGGGACAGTAAAACAGATACAATGAGATAGTTGCTTTCCACTTTTCCTATTGTCTATAATTGTGAACAGCTGAATGAAGAGCCCGTGTGGTGGTGTGGCATGAACTATGCTTGCTCAGCTTACACTGAGTGTGGATACCTGGTGTACCATGAT